GATAAACACAGAAAGGCTAGAAAAACTACCTTTAATTTTATCCATTTATAAATCTAAATGATGCAAATATTAGACTAAAAAACTTGTTTTGAATCTCTAGTATGATATGATAAAGATCTATCTAGATTGTCATACCATCGTTATGTAACTACAATCTAATTCAAATTATACAGGCTATATTAAAATAAACGTTAATAAAAAACGTAAGAAAAGTTTGTTGTAATTTGAATTAGATTGTATATAACTAGTATGAATGATAATATATATTATATAATGATGTGATTAAACTAAACAATAGATCTACTACCAAAGATTCATAATATTTACACTGGGTGATCATTTTAAACCTTAGACTGGGGTTAGGTAGGGGCAGGGTCATGTATATAAACCATCCTATATGGACAATAGAGTCTCTGACTTGCTGTTATTCTAAGATATAAACCCTGGATATAAATGAAATTTTTGGCATGAAAATTAAAGCTGTCAGAAATTGACAATGACAGAGAGTTGTTTAAGGTCTGAATCTATTTTGTAACCATGACGGAGAGTTGTTTGAGGTCTGAATCTATTTTGTAACCCTGTCATACATGACTCTTAATGATAAATGATCTTTGGCATTAACTTCTGTAAGATTATAGTAATCATACCCTGTCCTATACCTTGTCCTGGATACTTTACAGTTTAATATGGTCACCTAATCATAAGGCTTTTTCAATCCAAATTGCTTTTGATTTTAAGACTAAACCCACCAAAATATACAATCACCAATGTATTGAATCAACTGTAGGATGATATTTTGACAAGATTAGTCTCAATAAGAAAGGAATTTGAAGATGAAACTCGCCTCTCATCATGTTATATTTTTCTATTCAATCAAATATTCCAGCTTGTCACAAACATTCACAAATTGGTTGCCATTTTATTTTCGGATGTTTTGAGTTGTCACTGTAGCTGTCTAATGTGGAGGTCCAAATTTCACAAAAACTAACAGAGAAACTGTCTTTGATCAATTTAATAGATAAAATATTTAGCAGTTGATCTTGGTCATCATGAAACACCCAGAATTAGTATCTGATCAAAAATAGTTATCTCATCGTACTATTAATTAAAATTTATTTTATCTGAGACAAGTTTTTGTGAAATTGGGTCTTGGTTATTTCAGTTAATGGTGGCTCAAAATCTCGGGATTGACTACGATAGTTGTATTAAGAATACAGAACCACCTTTATATGTACTTTTTATTTTCATATATATTTATTTCACAATTTACAAAGATTCTCCGATGATTTGATCTTGAAACCACATTTTTAGTTAAATCATTTAGAAGCAAAAACTTGGTCCAAAACTATTAGAATTTTGGTCAAAATATATATATATATATCTGAGACGATTTTGACAATGAAAAAGGCTTCAGAAAACAGATTGATTGATTTGAGAACTATACATTGAAAATAGTGGGTCAAGAATATTCTATTTCCAGTATTCTTTAGTATTTTGTCAATCATATTGGTTAATATCTGTATTTTTTAACTGTAATGTGAAATATTTAAAATGAAAGTATAGGTAAGCTCAGATTAGCTGCAAATACATTTTTCAGGTATTTTTTTTTACACATTTTCTAAGACTATTTTCATCTTTATATTTTTGGAGTTTTCCTTGGTGTTTTTTTGTGTATTATATGTGAATTTTATGAAGTAGTTTTTGATATCCTAGGTTTTATTTTGCAAGATTTTGGTTTGCTTCTGTTTTGTATTTAATTGTATATTTGTAAATACCATTTTTAAACAGCTCATATTTTTATAACATGTGACCAGATACAACAGTTTATAATTTGTGACTAAATAGGCCAAAATATCACAATCCTTTAATGCATACTTTATTATGCTTGATATATTTTGGCGTATTTAATCTCAAGGTTGAAATTGGTGTAAAATCTTTGTAATGCAACTATCATCATTTATATGAATGAAGGGAAGTAACTCCAGTAAGACTGTATTAAATTACTTCCCTTTAGTCTCCCAATTTTCTGTATTTCTATCTTGTTAATCAAGCTTAAATTTTTATTCTACTTACCCACATCTTGTTCTATGTTTTCTAGAAGATGTTAAACTTTCAAATTGCCAGCAAATTATGCACCTCATAGTGTTTTTTTCTTCCAACAAAAGAAGCCTGTATGTAAAGTTGTTGGAAGAGAAGATAACTAGTAATATATTGTGTTAGTAACTATACTGTGCCTTTACTGTCAAAATAAACTCTCTATATTGTTACTATAACATTGTCAATGTTACAAAGGGTTTTAAAAGGGTTCTTTATTATCAATGCATTCACTATTTGTGCAAATTTACTATTTAAATCACTTGCCAAGGATATTTCAAAATTTATTTTCTTTGTTGAAAATCACAATTTGCCTTAAAAGTTAAAAATGGGTCACATGTTTGTTTGGATTACAGAATCTCCAGATGTATTCACAGATTAATAGAGGTCTTTCTGTTGATGAAAAACAGATTAAGAAATTGTTGTTGTAGGAACGTTATAATGTAATTATGATTAGGAAGACCACCTTTAAATTTATTATTAGACCAAAATATTTGTGGGGATTGAAAAATTTGGCTATCAGAACACAATGTTGATGTCATCTTTGGTGGACTTTGTAAATGGATAAATTTATAATTGTCATGATTATATAAAGCTTTTACAGAAAGAGTTTCATTCTGTTGAGCTCAGATTTAATTTAAGAATAAATTCATAGCAACAACTTGGTCATATGTAAAGCTAATGTCTAATATTATAAAGCTTACTAAAGTATTTACTAACAGAATTTAAAAAAAAAAAGAAACACACTGGCTATTTGCACCATTTGATTATCAAGAATGTAATGAAGTGACTTTGTTAGGATAAGATAAGGATGGCCATATGTTGTTTAATGTTTGATATTCTTACCTTCACAGTGCCAATAGCCAGGGCCAATTTAACAAAATGTCTATAAAACGAACCACAATATTTCAAGTTGATAATAATTCTGTGTTTACTATTGATATAAAAGTGCTATTTACTGTTATCTTTCATATATTTTACATGTTGTTTCTCTTATTTTCTATGCCATGGTTCGTTCCTTTGTGGAATTGCCTTCTTTCTGTCTCCCTCCTACAAGAGTTCTGTTATTTTTGCACATTAACAATAGGCGCCATTTTATATCCCATTTGAAATGTAAAAATCTTTCTGACAAGAGCTCATCTCATGCTGTTGAAACATGTTTCAGATACACAATCCTCATCAGGAGAGCTAGTTTTAGAAATGAAAGTTAACTTTCCAATATAGGACTTAATGTTAAGCTAATTGACAAAATCTCATTTCAAGCTGCTGTCTAGTGTTTTGGATTCACAATCCTCATCAGGACAGCTTGTTATATGGGTTGACCATTCTTCAAACATGAACCAGTTGTAACTTTTTGCATCAGTTCTTCAAAAATTTGCTTAAAACGTCCAAATTATTCCAAAAAAGTGCAAAAAAGACGTATTATCTCTATTATCTCTCTATATGTTGTATTTGTTTGTTGTTTGTGTTCACTTTATTAATTACTTTGAAAACTTTGAAATATCTGTAGAAAACAAGTGGGTATATATCTTTTGTGAATGGGGAATTATCCTCGAAAACTTAACTTGAGATGATTTTAGAGTTCAAAATTATTTGATTGGTCAATCACTAAAATCGATTAAAGAAAGACTTCTATTATCAAATCATGTTATATTTGATAATTATTATAAATTATTAATTTTGAGTGAAAGTTTCTAAATGCCCTGTCTTCTGTATCCATTTTAACTTTTCAATGGATTTTTGATCTGAATATATCATGGACTTAAGATAGACTACTAATTCTTATTAACATTTGCATCTTGTGAAATTAAATTTAAAACTTAGCCATTTATGACCACCTTCTAGAGACTTTATCTAGAGAATTTCTGTTTTGTTTAAGGGGTATATGAGTAGAATCAGATCTGTATTGACTGTATTAGATGATAAACCACTGTAAAAATCATGTTATATATGATTATTATTATTATTATTATATTTATTAGACATTTTGTATATTAAAATCATTGTAGAAAAAGGCTGGTTTTTTATTTTTTTAAGTGAATAACTTTGATGAAAAGGTATGAAGGTTAACAATCCATACTTCCATCGTAATAGGGAAAAACAATTTACTTATTCTGCTCTACAATCTTAATAACAAGGTCTTATTGGGGCTGAAAATTCTTTTTTTCTTTTATATCAGTCAAATATATTCAAGTTTTCTCATGCCCTTGTCACTGTCCCCTTCTATGACTTAACCCAGAGACAATATAGCACAGTGCATATTTTAAAAAGTTTGTGTCTATCATTTCTATGTAAGAACGACACGTTTCGAATGTACGACAGTGCCTGAAAAGAAAGGAAATTTAAAGAAGATAAAAAGACAAAATTATTTGAGAAATAGATCTACTTTATTTTGATCCAAATTGCTAAAATAAACACAAACATAAGATAATTTTATGGAATAAACAAACACACTACTTAGCCCATGTAAGTAAACACATAGTAGTGTAGGTCATAGAAGACCTTAAAAATCAGCCACACCCTTCATCATAATACAAATCTACGTGGCCCATACAATTTTGTAAGAACTTAATATCTATGTAACATAATCCCACCCCCTTTTTTTCAAGATCATATTACCTCCCTTGACACACTAATGGGGAGATAATTCATCATATTTTTTAATATTTTTTTAAGTCAAGGACCAAGTCCCTATTATGATTGCAGAGTATATTTTATAGCTGCTAAATGAATAAAAACAATGTCATTAATTTAAGTTTTCATTAAGTTCTCCAAAATGCTAGATTTAACACTTTCTTTTTAATAATACATGAGACTGGTTAATTGAGGCTGAAAGAGGGGCGCAACTCTAAATTAGAAGATGGACGTCGTCATCGGCTTATTTCCAAACAATTAAAGTAAACTGTCAAAAATAGTTATTTATGTGATCGAATAAGAGTGAACAGCTGTCACCTTTTGTACAGAAGTGAATCGTCATCACAGTCATGCCGAAATTGTAAAAATAGGGTGAGCATGGGTGCTGAAAATAGTATTTTGAGTGATTGTGAATGGGGAGAAAAATTTCCAGTGACTGCCAACTCGGACTGGTCGTTACAACAAGCCACGACACAGAATGGACTCAACATCACGGTTTTTCAACACAAGAGAAAAGACAGAAAAGAGGTTGATTTGTTAAAGAAAGCTGCGAAGGTAAACATTATTATTAGCAAAGATGGTTTAGCCATAAAATCAAGTCTTGCAACGGTAGGCTCAACTGTAACATTACACAAGGAAGTTTTGGCATGAGCAAGTAAGTGTGGGGCTGGGCATGAAATAATTCTGTATTGTGATGGGTGGCATGCTTTCAGATGCGTGAAATATTTCAGTGACAGTAGATAGATTTTGTTTATTTTAGATATTTATAGTTTTTGGAAATGATAATAAACAAACAAAACAACTATTATTATTAGCTGTGTGGACTCTGTGGAAAGAGTTCAGAGTTTATAAACCAAGTTGCTGAATAGCTTAGAAATGGCAAAGTGTATCTCCCATGGCAACCAGTGGCATTTTTTCAGAATCATTAGGAGAGGGGGGCCAAGTCGCGGCTATAGATCTTTCAAGGGGGGCCAACAGACAATTCTTTCCCTATGATTATTGATAGGAAATTTTAAATTGGGGTGGGGGGGGGGAGGCCAAAGCTGGGTCAACCTCTTTCTTTGGAGGGGCATGGCCTCTGATCGCAACTCGTACAGTTATTATTTTACATGATTTGTTGGAATTCGACCAAATTTTGACAGACAAGATAACATTTTAGAAGTAGTTTGAGCTTTTATGATTACAGTACCTATTATATATTTCAGTATTTGAAGACCATACGACATCCATCAATCCTGAGATTCATAGCATCGGGCGAGAGTTCAGAAGGATCCTATTTAGTCACAGAAGAAGTTTTTCCACTAGAATCAATCATTAAGAATTTGTCAGCCATTGAAATTTGTGCTGGTATTTATGAAATTTTAGAAGCTTTAGTTTTTCTTCATGACAAGGTGGGTTTATAACACAAAGTTTTTTTAGCAATTTTTTTTTTTTCTGGCATTAGTTCCAAGTGTTGAGATGTATGTCTGAGCTAGTGAATTAAGATTAACATAAAATTGGCAATTATATGGAGATCGGGGGCCTTATTCTCAGTTATTCCAAAACTTAACTTTATTAAAATCCAGATTTTAAGAAATACAGTAATCTGATTGGTTAACAAAACTTAATTAATAAGTAATTTTTAGTGATTGACCAATCAGATGACCGGAACACTAAAATCATCTTCAGTTAAGTTTTCAAGAATAAGGTCCCTGCTCTTATATAACTGATGATAGATCTTCAAAGTAACCAACTCCTATTGTGAGTTTCTGACGTATGTTTGATTAAGATTGAAAATAGTTCCTCTTAGCAACAATATACTTGCTACAGAAAATGGACACAAGTTAAAATAATTGTTCAACAAGAGTCTCCCAAACAAGAAAAATTTAAAGATTTAAACTTGGTTGGTTATAAATGTCAGTCAATCCAGAAACATTAAAAGATAACTGAAAGACACTGAAAAGTTGATAAAAGTCTCTGATACGAGGTGGGGTCTGACAGTTTTATTTCAGTTTAAGTTAGTTGAGTTCACTGATATAACAACATGAATTATCAATAGAGAGAGTATTGACCTATGTGATGTTTGAGGATATGAACCAATGAGTGTTAATATTGTATTCTAATTCTCTATTTCAAGGTTGGAATATCTCATAATAATATATGTTTATCATCAATCTATGTATTAAAAGATGGCAGCTGGAAACTCGGAGGTCTCGAACATTGTTGTCTATTTAAAGAAGCCACAGTTCAGTTTCTAGAAAAATGTCGAGCGTTTCGAAATGAAGATTCTGTATCACCTGAAGAGAAGGTAAAATAGATTGATTTAGAAAGAAATAAAATAAAAGAAAATCCTCAGAATTAGCTGTTATTAGTTTATGGGTAGAAGAGATGGAGATGTCAAAGGATGCCATATTTGCATTACAGTACTAACTGATGGAGCTTGATTTTAGCCATTTTTTTTTAGTATAAATCCTGTATGCAATAAATAATAAAAGAAAAACCGATTTGAGGTTGCAATAAGGATCCAGGCAATTATTATATATAGAGTACGCAATTTGTTTTTAATTTTAGCAGTTCACTTGCCACCTGTCTTGTCAGCAGTTTAACTGAGTTTGAGGAAGTAACTGTGCGGCCATTGTTGACTTTAGGTTCTTCATTCATTTGTACTCTAGCAACAAGTGTTGATTGATGTAGTCAATATTATGCAAGATTTCTTCCATGTCCAAAAATTGTGACATTCAGTAGATTCCAAAACTTTAGTTCATGTTTTATTTCAGGCTGGTAAGAGTGATACATCTGAAAGTCATGGTTATGTTCGAGATGTTTATTCTTTTGGTATGTTGATAGATCAACTGTTAGAATATCTAGATCCTCTAGGTTAGTAATATATCTATATTTTAAACTCTTTTTTTAACTTTATATTGTAATGGCTCAAGCATGATTGTAGAGTTTTTCATATTAGCTTAAATATTTATCAATTCATATCTAGATTATGGATTATGAGGAAGCCAATTTTTACATTTTCAGTTTTTTTAGTTTGTTTCTTTAGTCAAGCAAAATATAAATTCAAAAGGAAAACACAAAAAATCCATGATATTTGCTTTGTTTGATGTCTGGTGGTATTGCACATAGTTTCAATTACTAATTATTCTTCAAAGGAATACAATGCACTGCTTTTGATTATATTTTTAAACATAATAAGTACTTGCTACCAAGTAAAAATTACTATGAAAACTTAAAACCCCTAGTCTTTAGTTAATTCTGAAAACTTGTAAAATAAAAGTAGTAATGATTGCTATATATTACTATTTATTCTACCAAGACACACAATGAACTCTTTTAATTTATATTTGGTGTATCTGTGTAAAATGAAAGTAATAATGATTTTTATTTATTACAGGAAAAATAAAAGATAATTTTGAGAAGAGAATTCATACTGAATGTTTAAATATTGAAGCCAGTCAGAGACCAAATCTAAATTCTCTTTTAAATGATCCACTATTCAAGTAAGTATAAGAATACTGTTTTGAAAGCTTATATACCTGTTTCTGGTAAGTTTGATGGAATTGGAAGTGCAGTGATATTAGCCTATTAGCAAACCAGGCACACTCACTGAACAGAAGCAAGAAATGAATATTCTCAAAGATACTGTAATGATGGTTATACGGTTATGAGAGTCATCCAGTCAAAAGGTCAATTTGGATTCAATTTTATCTTGATGTATGTCGTAACATACCTGCATCAGTATGTGAAATATAAAAATGAAATGATTTGAGTTTTACGTCCTACTTTTCTGCACCATGTTTGCTATTGAAGACGGGCAACGCCATGCAGGGTACAATGAGCACCACCAACATATATTAATGACGAGGTCATTTATTCAGTTTGTTACATGATCAACTGCGTTTACACACCAATAAAGCCAGTGAGACCAACGTTTAATTCTTAATTGTTCTATCACTGACATGTTTCTATTTTTCAATTACAGAAATGATTTTATAGATATTATAAAGTTTTTAAAAAATATCACAGTTAAATCTGAAGATGAAAAGAAAGAATTTTTCAGGTAAGAGTCCATTTATTTATATTTTCAATATCAATTAAATATATGAGATACTTTTTATTTGGAAAACAACTTACAACAACTAACACTAAAGCTAAAATAAGTTTGTGTGTTCAGGTGAAAATGCCTTGCTTATAGCAGTCTTAATTTCAAAATACTGTTGCTTAGGATTTTTTTATTTGTATGTTTTTTATTTTTTTTATTTTTCAGTTCCTTAACATCCAAGTTATTAGCATTACCAGAGCCTCTTATATCCAGACGTTTAACTAGTTTATTATTATCAAGATTTATTTTACTGGATAATCAAGCCAACAAATTTTTACTGCCGCATTTATTAACCCCTTCAAATAGTAAGTTTACAGTTTTATATCAGAATTGCCAGAGAATACTCGAGGCAGATTCTCACTCCTAATCAATGAGTTGTCTTACTTTGCTCATATTCATAAAGTATAATATTGAAAATTCACCTTCCTGATGAAGATTGTGTATCAGAAACACACATGTCAATCATTAGCATGAGATGAGCTCTAGTCAATTATCTAACATTAAGTTAACCCTGATTTCCCAAAACTTCCGTCCTGATGAGGATTGTGTATTAGAAACACACATGTCAATCATTAGCATGAGCTCTAGTCAATTAGCTAACATTAAGATCTATATTGGAAAGTTAACCTCCATTCTTAAACAAGCCGTCCTGATGAGGATTGTGTATCAGAAACGTGGCAGCAGTATGAGATGTGCTCTAGTCAATTATCTAACATTAAGATCTATATTAGAAAGTTAACCTCCATTCTGAAACTAGCTGTCCTGATGAGGATTGTGTATCTGAAATATGTCAGCAGCATGAGATGAGCTCTAGTCAATAAGCAAACATTAAGATCATCATTGGAATGTTAATCTCCATTTCCAAACTTAGTTCTCCTGATGAAGATTGTGTATCTGAAACAAGTGTTTGTAGCATGAGATAAGCTCTTGTAGTAAATTATAATAACCTGTTCGTATTATTTTTCAATTTTTGTCATATATTTTAGATAATGAAAGATCTAGTAGTATAAAAGCAGGGAAGATAACTCCAGTTTTAAGTCGTGTTGTATATAAAGATCATGTGATACCGTTAATAACTAATATATTCTACGTACGAGAAACTAATATAAGACTCACTTTACTCAAATATTTCTCTGTTTATGTGGAATTATTCGATATGGAGGTTTTAGAAAATGAAATTTTTCCCCATGTAAGTAATGCTGCGTTCGATACCTCTCGTAATTACTACTTTAGGAAGTCATAGAGAAAAACTTTACGACACCCATTTTCACAATTTCTACTGCCTTCACCTTGCCCACATGGAAAAATGGCTAACATTATTTCATCGTCCATCTTTAGTAACAAAGTCGTGAATATCGTCTGAACAGTCTCCAGTTTTGCGCATGATTTTCGCACTTCGAGAAAGTCGTAAACACTATTTTCACGAGTGGTATTGAACGTAGCATAAAGTTGATTATGTTTTTTTAGTAAATCTGCTTGTCATATTACAAGCCAAATGGTTATTGCAATTTGACTTTTTAATTGGAAATAGAGAATCAAGTCGGCTTACATCACTGTCCATTGCACACTGCATGGTGTTAACAATCTTCATTAGCCTTATTAGGTGCAGAAAAGTAGGATGTAAAAATTCATTTTATTGAATTTTTCTAGTTGTTATTGGGAGTAAGAGATAATGATGATAAAATAGTGAGTGCTAGTCTCCACGGTCTAGCTGATATAGTACCTCTACTAGGAGGTGAGGTGGTGATTGGTAAATCTCGTAAACAATTCTTTACCCCAGGATTACCTAAGGTATGTTCTAAATTTTATTCTGGTATGAATTCATCGTTTACTGACCTCAATAAAAGGGAAAGACCTGTTTTTTTTAAGGGACGGGTTCTCCATCTGTTTGATCAGTCTCAGAAACATGAATATTTATTTTATTTTCTGCATGTTGCAGGCCTACAAAGTGGTAATTTTTTGGATAATTAATATGAGGTATATTTTGTAGGTAAATAATAAAATAATAGCTGATGAAATGAAGATTAAGTCTAGAAGTGTGTCTGATGTTTTTGATAAAAAGATTTTATTGAAAGATATAGCTGGAGGGTGAGTAAATGTTTCAAATAATATACTTTATTATCTGTGTGGACTCTCTGAAAGAAATGCTGACTTGAAAACCAATAAAACATTGTGGGCTATGTGAAGTGTGGACTCTCTGAAAGGGATGTCGGGTTGACAAACCAAAATAACCATAAATACATGTATAAGCTATGTGCACTCTCAGAAATGTGTATTTTAAAACAAAGTGACACTTTCTATAACAATTTCAGATAGACTTTACTTGTTTTAAAAATCAAGATAACAAATATTAATGGATGTTGTGTTTTCAGTAAAAACGGTGAGATATCAGTGGAAGAAGAGAAGAAAAGAAAGATGGCTGAAAGAGAGAGAAGACGTGAAATGGCTCGAATAAAACGTGAAGAAAGAAAACTAAAACATCAGGAAGAAACCAAGGGTATACATTCCTTATTTTTTTATAAGGCACTTTTTGTTGATGTTTAACATCTGTTTTGATATTTTGACTTAAAAACAAGAAATCAAACAAATACAAATTGTGATTTCATTTATTTATCAGACCAAAATAGATTTAAAAGATTTTGTACTAGGATTTGATTAAGCTATTTAATGATACTTTCAGATGAAGTTTACCTTTGGCTTCACACTTTTTTGATAAAGGGGAGTTTAAAGCCTATTTTCTCACTGTTGATCAGGTGTTCAGTGACGTCACTGTGGCTCTTTCATATATAACGTTGCCATGTTTTCAGTGGATGACGTAATTTGTGTTATGAGCCTTGCATTAAATGTGTCTAAAACGAGGTGTGATTAAGGTCTATAGTGGCTAGTATCGCTAGCAAGGCAGGGTATGATCACACTTTTGAAAAACCTGATGCTATTCTGTGACTTCATTTCTGAAAATCTATACTTATAATATTTTGTATATTTGTTACATTTACCAATGCAACAACAATATTATATGTTTAATCAAAATTTTGTAGCTGTCAAACAGAATGGTACCGTTCATCTTCCAATAGCAGACTCTCAGGAACCCATGGAACCAAGCTCCACAGATCTCCCAATGAATGGTCACATGACTACACACGATATAGAATTAATAGAATCAGAAGAGAGAGCCACTGATTGGCCAGAATGGGAAAACGCTGAACACAACCTAGAGATCAATGATGACCTTGAACCCTGGAATAATGACCCTGATCTTGACAAGTCAGAAAGTGAAAGTATCGTGTCTGAAAGTGCAATAAGTGAAGAAATTGAAAATCAACTATTGAGCATGCCCACTACAATTGAGGATTCGCCTCCACAGAGGAGCAAGCCATCTCTGGACGCGAGTTGCGATATAGATAATAATTGTCCGAGTGTGACCACTTCACTTAAGGAATCTGATTCCAAGAATCTTAAAAAATCTCCTCGCTCAAACTCAAATTCCACAAGCATTCCATTGAAGAAATCTCCATTACAATTGAAGACAAAGGGAGATAAGGCAATCACCAGAAGTAAAGTTCAATCATCAAAAACAGAAATATCAGTTGTCAAGGAAACGCATGAAGAGATCTCATATTTGAATAAAGATTGGGGAATGGCTTCACTTGATTCAATCACCTCAAGTCATGTGACAGTTACTGACCAATCGACACTGGTTGTAAATAAGACTGACCAATCACAGCCTACTGGGGATTCACGACGGAGTTCTACTAGCACAGGAAGTTCAAATTCTCGTAAATTACCCAAAACTACGCATAATCTCGGAGAAGAATTCGAAATTAAGAGTATTAAAGTGAAACCAGTGAGTGATAGTTTTGATTTTTTTGCCGATATGGCTCCAGAAATCAAAACAGACGACAAACTTTCAAAATTATTAGAGACTCCATCACCCAGTGCTAGTGTGTCTGGTTCTACCAGTACGAATGTATCAGGATTATCAAGTCCCTTAACTTCGGCATTCCAAGATAAGGACACAGACCACAGTAAAACAACCAAAAGTTCTGATAAATTTTCCTTGAATCAGATCTCTACATCAGAGGTGAGTATGGTATTGTTTTTTTATTCAACGAGGCTGGCAGAGGCTCATCGAGTTATACAATTTGTTCAACAACCATGAATGCAGAAATTGAATCCCTGCTGCAGAAGACAAGATAAAACATTCCAGTTTCCCCCTGTCAGTAAAGCAAATGAAACAAATCGCTTGGACAGTTTGACAATATCATTACATCATGAATACTTATTATTTCAATTCCTTGTTTCAATATGAGGTTTAACTACTACAGTGAAACACGGTAAATATGTAATAATTTGAGTTATATTGGGTAAGTCATATACAGAATGAAATAAAGTGATGTTATTAATGATTTTTATTACAGGATGTTGATGAGAATACTGGTACTGGTGATGGTTGGGGTGAAGATGATTTAGACTGGGGAAATGAATTCTAAATCTAACTTTATATTTCTACTTGGAAAACTACCGGGCTTTCTACATGTTAAATATTATATAGAACAGGGACTTGTTGTCAATTAAACATAAAGGGGGCTTGTGTTTAAACTTAAGGTGCAGTATGAATATTTCAGAATAAACTACGTATTGTTCTTAAATGGAAATAACACAAGAACGAAGTTCACGGCCATTTTGAATCACTACTTCGACTTATTGTCAAATTTTATAAAAGACTTTAATATTTCAACAAAGCCTTCAAATCATATTTAAAGGTTTAGAAATAGATAAATGGCTTTCTGTGTGATTTGAAGGCTTGGTTGAAATATTAAAGATTTTTCTAAATTCGACTGTTATGTCAAGGTAGAGATTCAAAATGGCTGTGTGTTATTTCCATGTAAGAATCAAACATAGTTTTGTATACCAATATCCTGAAAAACATGTGTTCACTGCCATTAGAAGATGTGTTATTTTTGACAGCTAGTCCCCTGCATGTTGATTGGGATGTTTATTATTGTATTGTATTGTTTGTTTGTTTGTGGGTTATAAAATATCTATCTATCATCTCCTGGCTTGTTAATTAACATATTCACTAATTTATGGTCAATTTGAATAAATTATTAAAACTTGGTCTTGTTATTTCTTTTCTCATTCTAAAAGTTTGATTTCTTAGGCCTTATAGATTTCTGGACAATTGTGGGGCTTTTTAACCTTGACAGTTATTCCCCATTCATCGATTCATTTTTCAAAATTTTCGCTCACTCGGTTCCTTGGACTACTTCTCTAAATAGCTTGTTCCGCCAACTTTATCTATGGATTTAACCCTCCTGCCCATTTCCTGTGATATTATCCTATATCCTGTATTTTGTGTTGCACAGGCCCCTTTATTTACACTATTTTCTGATGGGTGTTTTGGGTCTGTACTTGGAGTTTTCTCTGTTATATTATGGGAGCTTCAAAATCACCTTTCAGTAAGATAGGGTAATGTTTTTCTGACTTGATCCCAACAACCCCCCCCCACTCTCTATGGCTTAGTTCAGACTCTTGGTGAAGCCGTTTCATTCTCTTCTCTTGCATTTTAAAATGCTTCCTACAAAAGCTGCCAAATTATTCAATAACCAATTTCAAGGGCCAGGTTAGAAATAATTTTAGACTTGTAGGACTATCTGGATTCGGGAATAATGAGAATCAAACATCCCAGAGATCGAGAGGGATCACTACAGTGTTAAACAGTCCGTTAAAGGCAAATCATTCACGATGTCCAGAGAAGCTAAAAGCAGAATAGATTTTTCAAAAAGAAGTGAGTGTTCAGTTCTCTGAAAACTTAACACTAACACTGAGAGAGTTTTTTTTTTTCTAAGTAAAAACTTTTGAGGCTATGTCTTCTACTCTTCATCACTCGTCAAATGCATGCCTGAATATTACAATAATGGGATTGAAACAAGCAGCCACAAACATCACCAACTTACGAGATTTCAGATTGCATAATACGATATGACCAGCAGTGCTGATCTGGGCCTGGGGTGAGCTGGATAAACTAAAGCGACTAACAGCTGATAACAGGGTAAGTTGAGTTGATAATTCAGAATTTCTAGGTCTGGAGAATCAAACTATGTACATTGTCCTTGCCTGGAGTTTTACAGACAATTGGACAATTGACTGAACAAATTCGTTAGTACCGGAAGAATTTTAACCATAGTGACAGTGGCGTATTACGGCAATAATCTTAGAGCCATGCCCAGCACCCCTTGGGGCATATAAAATGAAATATTGACTGAACAAGTTCACATCTTGTGAGGGACCTACCAGGGGGCACAAAATTTTCCAGGGGAGAGGGGGGAGTCACAGGTCACTCTTTCACTATGTAAAATGATAAAAATTTGAAAGTTTTCCGTCTTCCCTCTAACCTGACCTCCCCACCATAGCTAGTACCCTCCAAAATCAGCACAGGTATATCGGGATACTTGGAGGCCCCCACCCCCCCCCACCCACTTAAAAAGGGCACTGATAATATTGTCTGTCACTGACTCTGTCCATAAAGAGTTCTTTATTAAATTTCCAGTCTTTCACAAATATTTAGATAATGATTATGATGTTTTCTTGATAAACCCAGCCTAGAATTCTTAGTTCATAGTTCATTCATCTTTCACTCAGTGTTGATTTTAAGTGGTTTAATGTGGGTTTGATTATCTCCTAACTAGTTTTAATTAACCACATACAGGGCTAGTTACTTTAACATATTTCTCTCTTGGGTTTGGGTTCCTTACACTTAAAGATGCTATACCACTTTTATTATTCATGAAACTTGGCTGTTGCATTATTGTCTTCTGATTTTGATATAGATGTGTTACTTTCAGACATTTCTTTGTGGATTTTCAGACTTCATATCTTAGAACTTGACACAGGTATGTGTGTGTGCATCCATGCACGGTAGCATGTGTTCAGTAGTGGCGCCAGGGGGTATTTGCCCCCTCCCCCCTAGAAAAATGATTTGTACCTGTACTATAGTTTTTTGGGAGAACCCTCTCTCTCATGAGAGGCTTGCAAATATGCCACATTTTGAATTCAGCCTCTACAATAAGTCCCCCAATGAGTCTTATCTATCCCCTATTTTAACCCCCAGTCTCAGAAGACTGGCACCATCAGTGAATGTGTTTATTTTCTCATCACCTTGGTAATTAATCTGATTATTAGTAAAATGAAATGATGTAAGAGAAATATAATTTCCCAGAAATATCCAGTTTTCAGTAGGACTTTTTTCACTACCAGTTTATTCAAGTCAAGTAAATGTTATTGGAATATCTGGTTTGACAGTGGTCGAGCTCCTTTAATAAAAACCCAATTCCACCTCTTGAATAGTGGTAGATGTTTTATAATATACACCAGTATCAGATTACACCAAGTTTAATCTGGTAGACCAACTTTTCTAGTTTCTAGTTGAATAGAACAAGTTACTCTCTGACTGACTGTCACACAGTGTTGTACAATGTTGTACAATGTAATAGTTTCTATAGATAGATAAGCACAGTGGTAGACTATAACTTACAGGAACTATACACTCTGTGTCTTTTAATCCTGCAGCTGCAGAAGGAGGAATTATGTAACTTAGTGCCATTGTGAACATTTGGAACTAATATTTTTGGAATTTATGTTAGATTTTGAATTACTTAATACACTTTTGAAATATTCAGATAGCTAAATGCATATATTCACTGTGTTTGTGTATGTGTAAAATTTGTCTTGGCACAAAGTATTACAGTGGCTAGAAATTGATTCCTTTGCTTTCTATCCTGCTATTTGTATATCAGAGTGTTGTGATAAGAATGTTTAAAATTTACTGACATCTGTATCTTATCTTAATAGTCATCTAACACTTTAAATTAAATGAAATGGAAAAGTTAAGATTCTTTGTGATGTTTATTCTATGGTCTACTGAATTATAAATCATATTTGTGTCTATTTTTATAAAAAGTTTGACACGATTTTTAGCCAGTTCCTGTTTATAGATTTGGAGTGAAAATTGTGTCAAAGACATTTTATTCTCTCTCCTGGAGGCAAAGTTTTAAACTGGGAATAATTGGTTCTTTGTTTGTCCACTTTAGAAAGATTGCCTAGTTTTACTTACTGATTGGACAAAGTTGAAGTGTCTAATGTAGAATGTGTGAGAGTTGTAGAATAATGAACTCTTTGTTTAATCTGTTTTAAGTATTTATGTGTGGTTTTGAATAATATTTTATGGATGAATTTGTGATATCTACTGTTATTTGTTTTCAAGAAAGATTTTTGTCAAACAAAAAGAAAACAATAGTTCTGTAACAGTGAAAATTTCAAAATTATTATTTATTGCGCACAATTTGTAAAAAATAAATAACGTGCAACGCCCAGAAATTTTTGTGCACACCATGAAATTGATTTTGGCCTAAAAAGGGGAACCAGTGTGATATAAATTCTACAAGTTGAGAGAAATACAGTTTTTGGATCAGTGAAAAGATTTAAAAGATTTTGGGTGTAACTGTTCCGATGACAGTAAACAGCTCGGCAAGATTTGAAAATAGAATTTGCCTGGTGTTGAAAGTGTATTCTTGTGAGACAATCTCATGTTTTTATTCGTTCATGAATTTTGATTTTTTTGAACGTCTGTACTTAACTCGTCTCTAATTTAAGATTTGTGATTTTAGATCCAAATTTGTGACTTGATATTCATTTTATGTGAATTATTTCTTTACTTTTTGGATTAATTTTTAAAAAAAATAGGATTATGAATTCTCAAAGCTGATATAAAAATTGATTAGAAATTTAAAATGGGGTTTCAGAGAGTATATATAACCACTGGAGTACTATTGACTATCTGGTTGCTATGTCTGTCTCCGCGTGTTACTGTATCGGGGGTAGAGGAAGTGCCCCTAGGATCTGCGTCCCTGGCGTTCGTGTTTGATATAACAGGATCTATGTACGATGATTTGTTACAAGTTATAGATGGAGCTGCAAGGATTTTAGAAACAGCTAAAAGCCGGAGAACTCAGCCTCTTTATAATTATGTTTTAGTTCCATTTCACGATCCAGGTGGGTGATTTTTACTTTCTCTTATTTTATTTTTTTGAGACCCATGGTAGGTAGGTAATTAAAATTAACTGGTAATACCCTACCCAGGGTTCCATGGTACTACCCTACCCAGGGTTCAATGGTACTATCCTACTCAGGGTCCCATGGTACTACCTTAACCAGGGTTTCATGGTACTACCCTAACCAGGGTTTCATGGTACTACCCTACCCAGGGTTCCGTGGTACTACCCTACCCAGGGTTCTGTGGTTCTACCCTACCCAGGGTTCCATGGTACTACCCTAACCAGGGTTCCATGGTACTACCCTAACCAGGGTTCCATGGGTTCCGTGGTACTACCCTACCCAGGGTTCCATGGTACTACTCTACCCAGGGTTTCATGGTACTACCCTACCCAGGGTTCCGTGGTACTACCCTACCCAGGGTTCTGTGGTTCTACCCTACCCAGGGTTCTGTGGTTCTACCCTACCCAGGGTTCCGTGGTACTACCCTACACAGGGTTCCGTGGTACTACTCTACCCAGGGTTCCATGGTACTGCCCTACCCAGGGTTCCATGGTACTACTCTACCCAGGGTTCCATGGTACTGCCCTACCCAGGGTTCCATGATACTACTCTACCCAGGGTTCCATGGTACTGCCCTACCCAGGGTTCCATGGTACTACTCTACCCAGGGTTCCATGGTACTACCCTGTCACATATCATATCATCATATATCATTTATTTTGGTGATTAACCAATCAGATGACTGGAACAAAGTTAAGTATTCGACAATGAGGACTCAGAGTCTACTGTTGGTTTATTTTCAACCACCTGTCAGTTTTTTTAGTTTTACCTTGTAACATATTTAAAAACCTGACAGAACAGTTTATAATTCTATATATTGTAAATAATAACTGGTATATTATAGAGGTTAATAAAACTTGATAAACCAGTATAATATAAAACTACTGACCATGTTTCATCTTACTACTAATAAATCTTATATAATATTTCATTTATATTATAGTCTACTACTTAGATGCGAATCTGCATTTTTGTTACATGTGTTTTTCATTTGTGTGTGACTCATGGATGATCTGAAGAAATTGTTATGCATCTCCAGTTCTGAGTATTAATATATTCATCTAGGCTCATGGATCAATTTGACTGTAAACTGACAGTTTTTAAAAGGGTCCCAATGTTCTTGGTGGTATATCAGCAACCATGTTCTCAAATATACTTCATCCTCAAATGTCTGTCCTATACACTATTAAATGAGCAACATCTTATGTAGGAGTTTGCCATGGGAATGGGTAGCGTGTAATATTGGCAATAAGACTATAGGTAAATCTGTATGTATTAAGTCATTGCAAGATCAACCTGCTAAAGTAAAACACGGTAGAAAAGGTTAAGGGTAGAATGTAATATTGGCAATCTGTGTACAGTATATATAAAGTATGTATATATAGAGGTGTAATGAGGAAGAAAGATTTATAGTTTTATCTGCCATGTTACCTGCCTCGTTACCTGCCTCGTTACCTGTGTTTTATAAATTAACCAGAACTATAAACATCATCATATCTTTTACTTTCTCTTTAACTTATAAACAGACTAGGTGGTTTACGAGGGTGGCTTGCCAAATAGTTTTATTCTTCCTCTTTTTCTAAAAGAATATATGGTTTACCTTCGATGAATAAACCAATTCGGTATTATGCACTCGCATGGGCAACATGCTAATTCCCTATTCCCGCCTCTGGATAAACAACATCGATTTAACATGGCAGTCTATGGACAAGGATTTTGTACCAAGGGTTTACTACATTTACATTCATCAGACTGGTGATATACGCTGTGAACTGAGAAAACTTGCTTCAGACAACGTTTTAAATGATAAATGGATATCTGTCAATGTAGTTAACACTTTATATGAAATCTTTTTACATGGCTGGTTGAGGGATCTTTAATATGCACAGCCTGTAGCACACAGGACCACGCTTCTGAACGACGAGATGCTTTTTTCATATCAGTTATATCACTGACAAGAGGAAGCCAGGTTGGTAACATCTTGACTCATACAGGATTCTGTGTTTTTTAAGAGAAAAGTGAAGAGGAAATGATGTACCTAATGACCTGGATTCGTTAGTCTGATGAAGTATCATCAAGTTAATTAGAACCAGATTTATAATTTTATTAACTTACTAATTATCCAGTTTCTATTTCAACTTTCTGTCTGTCAATCTTACACTACAGATGTTTTTTATTTGAAATATTTTTAGATTTAAAAAAAATTATTTGCACCTCTTTGTCCATCTTCAATCTGTTATATTCAAGATTCAATTGTACAATGGCTTGTAACCTGGGTTAATGATGGAGTTTGCTGTAAGTTTCTGGAGTTCTACTTTCTAGTTAAAGTTGTTGACGAATTCTGCAACCATCCAGTTAAATTGGTCGATTTCTTTCGATATGAGCACTTTGCTCTTACTGACTGTTGACAGGTCCAGAGAAATAATTACTGAAGGATAAGCCAGCTTCATGTGTTTCTAATCGGCAAATTGCTTAACCACAACGGTTCAGTTGAGGCTTAAATCTTTCGGGAACCAGTTAAACTTGCGTTTGACAATAAAACTAGTTTTAAGCTATCTGAGAGCTAGCTTTACTGTACAATGCTCAGTGGAAACGCAGTTAATGTGACATTTTTGCTCTGGCAGTCTTTTTGTCTTTGGAGGGCAAGCTAACGTCAGCTTTCAAAATATGAAATTAACATGCATTAATGTTCTAAAACAATACCTGCTTTGTCTGAATATAAATAGGCCAATGATCTACTAACTACTGGCAGTAACGAGCTTTACAGGTATCTGATTGTTCAGGTGATAAAATTGTTTACAAACTACATGCCAAGTATTTATAAACATGCTGTATACTGGCGTGACATTATAATTACATAAAAATTCCAGAATAAAGAATATTCATCAATTACAAGAACATGTATTTAAGTTAAGAGTAGGTCTTAAAAACAGATACAGAAAAGAATAACAACTAAGGTTTAGAGTAGGTTCTAATATTTATACAAGGATAACAACTAAGGTTTAGAGTAGGTTCTAATATTTATAAAAGGATAACAACTAAGGTTTAGAGTAGGTTCTAATATTTTTAAAAGATAATAACTAAGGTTTAGAGTAGGTCCTAATATTTATAAAAGGATGACAAGAAAAGATTAGAGTAGGTTATAATATTTATAAAAGGATAACAACTAAGGTTTAAAGTAGGTCCTAATACTTAATCAAGCATAACAACTAAGGTTTAGAGTAGGTCCTAATACTTATAAAAGGATGACAAGAAAAGATTAGAGTAGGTTATAATATTTATAAAAGGATAACAACTAAGGTTTAGAGTAGGTCCTAATACTTATGAAAGGATAACAACTAAGGTTTAAAGTAGTTCCTAATACTTATAAAAGGATAACAACAAAGGTTTAGAGTAGTTATAATATTTATAAAAGGATAACAACTAAGGTTTAGAGTAGGTTCTAATATTTATAAAAGGATAACAACTAAGGTTTAAAGTAGTTCCTAATACTTATAAAAGGATAACAACTAAGGTTTAGAGTAGTTATAATATTTATAAAAGGATAACAACTAAGGTTTAAAGTAGTTCCTAATACTTATAAAAGGATAACAACTAAGGTTTAGAGTAGGTTATAATATTTATAAAAGGATAACAACTAAGGTTTAGAGTAGGTTCTAATATTTATAAAAGGATAACAACTAAGGTTTAAAGTAGTTCCTAATATTTATAAAAGGATAACAACTAAGGTTTAGAGTAGTTATAATACTTATAAAAGGATAACAACTAAGGTTTAGAGTAGGTTCTAATATTTATAAAAGGATAACAACTAAGGTTTAGAGTAGGTTCTAATACTTATAAAAGGATAACAACTAAGGTTTAGAGTAGGTTCTAATATTTGTACAAAAGGATAACAACTAAGGTTTAGAGTAGGTCTTAATACTTATCAAAGGATAACAACTAAGGTTTAGAGTAGGTCCTAATACTTAATCAAGCATAACAACTAAGGTTTAGAATAGGTTCTAATACTTATATAAGGATAACAACTAAGGTTTAGAGTAGGTTCTAATACTTATAAAAGGAAAACAACAAAGGTTTAGAGTGGGTTATAATATTTATAAAAGGATAACAACTAAGGTTTAGAGTAGGTTATGATATTTTTACAAAAGGATAACAACTAAGGTTTAGAGTAGGTCTTGATACTTATCAAAGTATAACAACTAAGGTTTAGAGTAGGTCCTAATACTTATATAAGGATAACAACTAAGGTTTAGAGTAGGTTCTAATATTCATAAAATGATAACAACAAAGGTTTAGAGTAGGTTATAATACTTATAAAAGGATAACAACAAAGGTTTAGAGTAGATTCTAATACTTATAAAAGGATAACAACTAAGGTTTAGAGTAGGTCCTAATATTTATAAAACCATAACAACTAAGGTTTAGAGTAGGTTCTAATATTTATAAAAGGATAACAACTAAGGTTTAGAGTAGGTTCTAATACTTATAAAAGGATAACAACTAAGGTTTAGAGTAGGTTCTAATATTTATAAAAGAATAACAACTAAGGTTTAGAGTAGGTTCTAATATTTATAAAAGGATAACAACTAAGGTTTAGAGTAGGTTCTAATACTTATAAAAGGATAACAAGTAAGGTTTAGAGTAGGTTCTAATATTTATAAAAGGATAACAACTAAGGTTTAGAGTAGGTTCTAATATTTATAAAAGAATAACAACTAAGGTTTAGAGTAGGTTCTAATATTTATAAAAGGATAACAACTAAGGTTTAGAGTAGGTTATAATACTTATAAAAGGATAACAACTAAGGTTTAGAGTAGGTTCTAATACTTATAAAAGGAAAACAACAAAGGTTTAGAGTGGGTTATAATATTTATAAAAGGATAACAACTAAGGTTTAGAGTAGGTTATAATATTTATAAAAGGATAACAACTAAGGTTTAGAGTAGGTCTTAATACTTATCAAAGGATAACAACTAAGGTTTAGAGTAGGTCTTAATACTAATAAAAGAATAACAACTAAGGTTTAGAGTAGGTTCTAATACTTATAAAAGGATAACAACTAAGGATTAGAGTAGGTTCTAATACTTATCATAGGATAACAACTAAGGATTAGAGTAGGTCTTAATACTTATCAAAGGATAACAACTAAGGTTTAGAGTAGGTTCTAATACTTATAAAAGGATAACAACTAAGGATTAGAGTAGGTTCTAATACTTATCAAAGGATAACAACTAAGGTTTAGAGTAGGTCTTAATACTTATAAAAGGATAATAACTAAGGTTTAGAGTAGGTTCTAATATTTATAAAACCATAACAACTAAGGTTTAGAGTAGGTTCTAATATTTATAAAAGGATAACAACTAAGGTTTAGAGTAGGTCCTAATACTTATAAAAGGATAACAACTAAGGTTTAGAGTAGGTTCTGATACTAATAAAAGGATAACAACTAAGGTTTAGAGTAGGTTGTAATACTTATAAAAGGAGAACAACTAAGGTTTAGAGTAGGTCCTAATGCTTATAAAAGGATAACAACTAAGGTTTAGAGTAAGTCCTAATACTTATATAAGGATAACAACTAAGGTTTAGAGTAGGTCCTAATATTTATCAAAGGATAACAACTAAGGTTTAGAGTAGGTCTTAATAGTTATAAAAGGATAACAACTAAGGTTTAGAGTAGGTCTTAATACTTATCAAAGGATAACAACTAAGGTTTAGAGTAGGTTCTAATATTTGTACAAAACGATAACAACTAAGGTTTAGAGTAGGTCTTAATACTTATCAAACGATAACAACTAAGGTTTAGAGTAGGTCTTAATACTTATCAAAGGAGAACAACTAAGGTTTAGAGTAGGTCCTAATACTTATATAAGGATAACAACTAAGGTTTAGAGTAGGTTCTAATACTTATAAAATGATAACAACAAAGGTTTAGAGTAGGTTATAATATTTTTACAAAAGGATAACAACTAAGGTTTAGAGTAGGTCTTAATACTTATCAAAGGATAATAACTAAGGTTTAGAGTAGGTTCTAATACTTATCAAAGGATAACAACTAAGGTTTAGAGTAGGTCTTAATACTTATCAAAGGATAACAACTAAGGTTTAGAGTAGGTCTTAATACATATCAAAGGATAACAACTTAGGTTTAGAGTAGGTCCTAATACTTATATAAGGATAACAACTAAGGTTTAGAGTAGGTTCTAATACTTATAAAAGGATAACAACTAAGGTTTAGAGTAGGTCTTAATACTTATAAAAGGATAACAACTAAGGTTTAGAGTAGGTTCTAATACTTATAAAAGAATAACAACTAAGGTTTAGAGTAGGTTCTAATATTTATAAAAGGATAACAACTAAGGTTTAGAGTAGGTCCTAATACTTATAAAAGGATAACAAGTAAGGTTTAGAGTAGGTCCTAATACTTATAAAAGGATAACAAGTAAGGTTTAGAGTAGGTTCTAATATTTATAAAACCATAACAACTAAGGTTTAGAGTAGGTTCTAATATTTATAAAAGGATAATAACTATGGTTTAGAGTAGGTCTTAATACTTATCAAAGGATAACAACTAAGGTTTAGAGTAGGTCCTAATACTTATAAAAGGATAACAACTAAGGTTTAGAGTAGGTCCTAATACTTATAAAAGGATAACAACTAAGGTTTAGAGTAGGTTCTAATACTTATAAAAGGATAACAACTAAGGTTTAGAGTAGGTTCTAATATTTATAAAAGGATAACAACTAAGGTTTAGAGTAGGTTCTAATATTTATAAAAGGATAACAACTAAGGTTTAGAGTAGGTTCTAATATTTATAAAAGGATAACAACTAAGGTTTAGAGTAGGTTCTAATATTTATAAAAGGATAACAACTAAGGTTTAGAGTAGGTCCTAATACTTATAAAAGGATAACAACTAAGGTTTAGAGTAGGTTCTAATATTTATAAAACCATAACAATTAAGGTTTAGAGTAGGTCTCACAAAATAATTTTTTACAAGAATACCAACTTTGGTTTAGACTAGGTCCTGATCTGGATGAATGGGCATTTTTACAAGGACAGCAACTTAGGTTTCAAGATTTTATCTGCTAGATGGTCCTTGTCCAAACCTTTTGGCATTAATCTTTCCCTGATTAACCATACCCATTTACAGCAAGGTTGACTGGAATGATACATCATTATTTTACTGGCATTAGAACTGAGGTTCTCTGGGATCCTTTGTTCTTGATCCCAGATGATGTAGCGAAACTGGAATGAGAAAAGGTCCTCTGTAATCCTTTATCCTTGATCTTTCCCAGATGATACTGGTAAACTGGGTTAAAAAGAAAGAAACATCCTATTTTACTGAGATAAAAACAGAGGGTTAAACATCTTGGCAATGATTTTACCTGAAATATTTTCTACTCATTTACAGGTGAATAAAAGTTGTTAATTGTTTTGATTGATGTGTTTATTAATCAGGTTAAAAGCCTGTAAACACGAGAAGTTATGTAAACAATCTCTTATTTTATAACAAAATTGTTAGAAGAAAAAAGCTGTTACTTTAGATATATTTATTTTAAGGTGAAAGAGTCTTACAAAACTCCAAGCAATTAGAATAGAAGAATGTATTTTAGAAACGCACTGGCTATTTGTACTGTCACGATGTGTGATCTCTATGGCTGCTAACAACGGTACGGATAAGATAAGACACAAGGTGCACTAGTTTTTGGGTTTTATTTATAGCTTGAAGCCATTTTGATTGTCAAGAATGATATTAAGTGACTTTGTTAGGGTTAGGTAGGGATGGCCATATGTTATTTGATGCCCCTTTTTATACCATCGCAGTACGAATAACCTTGGTCTTTTAGAAAATATAAGAAAACTTACTCATACTATATCAGTGCTTTATTAGTATTTTTTTTGTAAGACTACCGGTACTTCAGATTGAAATCTTTCTTTCAAGATCAGCTGTCCTGATGAGGATTTTATATCAAAAACACTTGAGAGCAGTTGGAGTTCTTATCAATTAAACATCGTGAAAGGCAGCACTTAAAGTATACTTTCAAGTCCGTTCAATTCTTTTTGAATTAGTTTCTTATGAATCATATGTAAAATTTCCTTGAACAAGTTTCTCTAATTCTTATTTTGTGCATGAGTAGAGTTTGAGTGGAAACACCCTGATGTTTTCTAAGATTCTGTCAGAAATTTTAAGTCATAAATTACAATTCTACAAGACAAATAAAGATAAGAAATTTGTCTGTAATTTACTGACTCCTTCTTATCTTGCCTCCATTAGTTACACTTCTTTTTTCACCATGAGTATTATGTCTACTAGCTACTGTATATTCTACTGTTTAGTACACATTTTTTTTAGCTTACTGGGGGTTGGAGGGGGGGGATGGGGAGCATTATAGACAGAACTCGCAGAAGCATACAAATTTTAAATTTACATTAGAAGTTTCACTACAGGTATGATAGAATCGATTTGTAACATTCCAATTTTCAATCAGATGTCTTTGGTTCCTGCAATTCCACAGGAATAGTGGAAAAGCTAGTAACTATGTATCAAGCCAGGCAACTTTGGTCAAGAATAGATCAAAATGTAGATCGAAATTATTAAAATTGGAAGTGTGATTCTTGCTGGTTGATATCTATCGAAATAAGTTAAGAAAAATCATATATTAAACTATGAACCAATCAGAGCAATTCTTTCTGTGTTTTATTTTGCAATCTGAAATCATTTTACCTGGTGCCAATCAAACATTAACTACCTATATCTTACTAAGTTTTTATAAGATTGAAGATTAAAATGCTAAATTACTGTAATAGATCATCCTTCAACAAGTCTAATATAGATAGCAGTTAGATAAAATCTTTTAAAATAGAATTTAACATTAAGTTTAATTTCTTACTATATTTCAAAAGTGTTATTTGGTAAATGGAGGGAAGAACGGAGAGTTGAAAACGCAAATTAAACATCTTTTGTTCCAGTTTTTTTTTTAGATTTTTACTTTAATTTATCCACTTCAGTTAGGGTCTAAAGACAGGCCTCTAAAACATTCATCAGGGTCTAAAGACGGCCTTCTTGAACATTTGTCAGTATGATGACACAGCCAGCCAATCAAATTTGCTGTGATTTTCTAAACAAAAGGTGTACTTCATGAAGCATTAGACCCTGAATGCACCACACCAAAATCACAGCGTTGGAGAGGAAAGAAATTTGATTGGCTGGCGGTGTCATCATACTGACAAATGTTCAAGAGGACCGTCTTTAGACCCTAACTGAAGTGGCTAAAACGAAAAATAAAAGGGAAGGAAAATGAAAATTTGTAGATTTACCCAGTACAAACTAAAGAAATGTGTATCTGGATTTGGTCCACTATCTTTATGAAAAGAAACAGACCAACTCAAACTTATCTAGAACTTGACTGAAATTCTAGAAACAGAGTTTAATGTTGTCTACTACAGCAATACTGTAAAAAGTTGAGAGATCCAACCCTAGTCTCTGTCATGTCCTGTGGGATATAGATGTGTTCTGTTATCTTACCAGCCTTGTCATCCAACTCTGGTTCACATTATTTCGATAGTATTAATTTCTCTTTGTCACAATTTCTTCATTTTGAACCAGAGAAAAATGGAATTTTTATCAACTTTTTTCAGACTTTTTGTTAATTGATAAAACTTTATTTAACTGATGCCTAAGGTTTAAAGAGCACATAATTATTAAATATTGGCTTCTCTGATTTCCTTTAAAGGGCAGGTGAGCTATTTTGGGGGGTTGATTTTAGTTTTGAATATATGTTAATAGTCTTCAGAAGTACTAGAAATGTATGAAAATCACATAATTCCTTTAAAAATACTTCAAACTAGGAATTTTACTCACTATTTCTATTTATGTCTTTTCTATATATCACAGAATATCTTAAATTGACGAGTCGTCAATCGTGTATAATTCTGGACACACATGGATTTGAAGGCTTAAATTTCGACGGTGAGCTGTGAACACTATAACTGATTGGCTTAGCTAAAAAATTCCAGTTTCTGAGACTAAAGTGTAATTGGTCCAAAAATGGTGTGTCTGTCCCTTTAACTCTGGCCTCTCTGCTCAATGGTTGATCTGTTCTGATTGGTGGACAATTGATAGGTAAACTGTGTTAAGAGGTCAGACTCTAGTTGGGGATATAATAGTAGGGGAACTCTGGTCAAATTAGAAACAGATTAAAAAGGACTGAACTGTTCTCTGAGTGGTCACTCTGATTGATGGCTGAACTGTCTTCAGTATACTATACAAGTTTAGGACTCTAACTGAACAGTTTTAATGGCACTCCAGTCTGGAAGTGGTTAACCATTGGACAATACCTGAACTGTCTTCAGTGTGTCCAAGAACTGGACAATAGCTGAATGGTCTTTAAGGTTATTACTATAGCTCTGGACATATCTACAACTGTGTTCAGAGCAGTCAGTTTAATGTAGAAGTGGTGATTTTTTTTTTCACATTCTCTACATTACACAACTTATACCATGGAGACCAGATTGAGTCAGTTCAACCATTGTAAAATCAGTACACCTCCTCTGTATGGTTTTGATATTTTCAACATTATACTGAGCTTTTTGTCTCTGGAAACATGCGGTTCCAGCCTAAGGGTTAAGATTTAAAATGAGGAAAGATTGCGAAGCATAACCTTCCAATGAAGAAACTGAGGGGAGAATTTGAAAAACTTGAATTCATTTGGTAATTAACATGACACCCATTTTGGGGCAAAAATGATAAAAATCCTGTGTTAAATATTCTTAGAAATAAAAGGAGTGTAAAATTGGGGGTGATAACCATTTCTGAGGGTTCAAATGCCTCCTGTACTCCCACTGGAGCCACCACTGTTTTTATTATTATACAGGTTATAGAGTAACAAGAACCATATAAGATTGTATATTTTACAAGGATAACAACTTGGGTTCACAATTATGGTTCCTTTCTACCAGCTAGTCGTTCAGCTTTCCTGGATTATCCGTACCCATTTACTGATGGGTCGTCTGGAATTTGAGTGAAGATGACTTATAGGTCATCAGACTTTTACACGCCAATCGAGATCGGAACCCACAACCACCATTTGATCAACGTAACCAAGCTAATGGCGTCAAGTAATAAACCAACCCTCTAAACTATATTACTATAGAACCTGGCACTGTGATATACGAAATAATTTTCCTTTCTTGTCGTTTCAGATATTGGGCCAGTGATAGTGACGACCGATTCTGAAGAATTCCAGGAAGAGTTGAGAGATTTATATGTACAGGGGGGTGGGGATTGTCCAGAGATGAGTGTGGGGGCTATAAAAACAGCCCTAGAGGTCTCCTTACCGAACTCGTTTATCTATGTATTTACTGACGCTAGGGCCAAGGATTATTACCTCACAGAAGACGTTTTATCATTGATTCAACAAAAGCAGAGTCAGGTAAGTCTGGTTGTTTCAATCTAAATACCTACTTTTTGGGACACTTGATGTCTTGATTTGTCAACTAAGCTACCCTTTTTATACGCCCACATCTCTCTATGTGGACGTATATTGTCGAAACCCCTGTCCGTCATTTTTGCTTGTAAACGCTCTAAAAACTAGATATTTTGATGGAATCAAATGAAATTCGGTATGTGTATACATATTCATAAAACGAAGATCAAGTTCGAATTTCGCAGAGTTATTGCCCTTGCCCCAAAATCTTGAATATTTACCATCAGCATGCCGTGATGGGTGTATATAGCTGTGGTCCACTATCTTTCCTCGTTATCAAGAATAACAAAACAATTTGACGGAATTTTGTACGGTATAATATAAGAAATGGTATAGAATGAGGTGATATTAAAGTTGTTATTAGGTTAATGTTACTAACAGCTATAATAATATTTTATATCAACCTGTACATAATATATTAATCTATCTACCATATCTCTTACTAATTCTTACTGTGACTTGTGATTCAAGACTAGAGACAGTTAAAGACCAGGGCATGTATACTCGAATCGATCTAAGAGCTAGGATATCCTAGGTTCTTATCTTCTAACATTGATTCTAGGATATCCTAGGTTCTTATCTTCTAACATTGATTCTAGGACATCCTAGGTTCTTATCTTCTAACATTGATTCTAGGACATCCTAGGTTCTTATCTTCTAACATTGATTCTAGGACATCCTAGGTTCTTATCTTCTAACATTGATTCTAGGATATCCTAGTGCTAAGATCGTTTTGAGAATACATGGCCTGCTTCTTAACCTGAAGTCATGGGTTTCAATCCTTGGACGGTGACTTGTTCAGTACCTAGGTGATCTGGGGTCTCATTCTCCAAAACTTAACTAAATAAAATCCAGATTTTAAGGAAAAATAGCCATCTGATAATAAACTAAATCTAAAATCAATTTTAGTGAAAGACCTATCAGATAAATTTAACAGTAAAATCATCTTAAGTTAAGATAATGAGAATAAGGCTCTAGGTGTCTTTATTATCGACAATTTAACTAAGATGAAATCCAGATTTAAAGAAATACAGTGGTCATGAGGTGGAAGAGTAAAAAACCCACAATCAGACTAACTAACTAATTAAATATGTTAAACTTTTTATATCAATCTGACCTGGAGCCTTATTCTTGAAAACTTAACATAAGATGATTTTTGGCATTTCAGTCATCTGATTGGTCAATCACTAAAATTGATTTTAAATTTTGTTTTATTATCCAATCAGATTACTGTATTTCTTAAAATCTGGATTTTATCTAAGTTAAGTTTTGGAGGATAGAGCCCCTAATAACTTGCAGTGTACAATGAGGGAAATTGACTATTATAAAGTAAGGAGGGTGAATAAGTACAGTAGCCTAGTCTCCAGGTGGAAAGATAATAACCAGACTAACTGGGTATTAAAAATGTTAAACTAATTAAATGAACCTGACCTGATTTAACAAGAGAATTGTAGGTGGAGAATAAATAATGATCTTATAAACAGCCATCTTTATAATTCTTTTAAAGGGATTGTAAAGAGTTTTTCTAAACTTTCTATATGTATCTGAGACACTGATAGTTTTATGTTGTCACTGTCACATAAGTCCTTATAAATACCAGCTTTTGCAATAGTGATGTCATAAAACGCTTACTTTGTGTGGAATTGCTTGAACTACAGACGTCTGATTGAAAGTTGGAATGTTGCAAATTAATGCAATCAGTGTTCCTAAAACATAAAAGGTTAGAAAACCTCTTTAAAATCCTGTTGAATTAGGTTTATATTTCAACATTATAATATGAACTCACCAACCATAATATATAGGAGTAGCAGTGGTTTATTGAGTTAGGACGCTTGCTCGCTAACCTGGCCACTGTTCACGAAACAAACTTAGCGCTAGGATGTCCTAGAATCAATGTTAGAATACAATAATCTAGGACATCCTAGCGCTAAGATTGTTTTGAGAATACATGGCCTGAAGGTTGAGGGTTCATTCTTAGCAAGAGTCCAGATAATACTTTTGGATATTTCAACCTAGTTCCTCCCCCCCTGTCAGTGATGCAGGTCGGAGGTGCTGACTTGAAAAAAGCATCTACTTGTTTGGATGAGAGAATAAACGGAGGAACTGTGTGCTACAGGCTGCGCATATTACAGATCCCCTGACAGTTGGAAATTGAGAAAGAGTTGGCTATTGCTGCTTTCCTGGTAAAATTTCCTCATTGCACACTGCAGGGTTTTACTAGCCATCAAGTGCAGAAAAGAAACTCTAAAAACTCCATTTCTTATTTTTCTTTGACTTTACAACTGAAGATCCAGAGTTTGAGTTATTGCCCTTGACTCAAGTGAGATTTGGTTGGAGAATATGATAGTGGTAATAGATGATAATGGATTTTTGATAAAACTTGGTAGTTGGCATTCTATGAATTTAGGTTCTTAGATTTTCTAAGAGCTTTATACACATAAATAAGACAGCAATATTTCATGTAAAATGCAAAGAACTTGCAGAACTGGAGACAATATTATCCTAGAGCTTTATATTCATATTGATATATGAGTTATTCAAAATCAAAGTTAAGGCAGCAATATTTCATTTAAAATACAGAGAGTTGCAGAACTGGAGACATTATGGGCAT